GTGAGTGCTGGGAGCTGAACCCAGGTCCTCTCTCGGCAAGAGCAGCAGGTGCTCTTTGCCACTGAGCCATCTCTCCAGCCCTAAAGAGAATGGTATGGTTAGGTTTTTACTAAGAAACATCACTAGGTGATGAATTGAGGGGGTTAAAATGGAAGAAGAGCTACTAATTCGAAGCCATCTGGTTACCAGGCACTAGTTTAGAGGACTGTGGATTGGGGGGTTCCAGTGACTGAAAACAAAGTTCAAGATCAAGTTGGGAGGCAGAAGAAACAGTATGTATGAGAGACAGAAAAGCTAATGGTTTTGGGTAACCCGAGAATGACAGTGTCACTAAGATAGCTAATGAGGATGTCTGAAGATGAGGGGATGCAGGTGCTGAATCAAGATAGCTTCAAGAGAACCAAGAAAGAGGCTCAGCTACCAGCTGGATCCACGAGGCAGAGCGCCATTAATGAAGACAGTTTTACATTACTGAAGTCAGGGCTGCAGAGATGGTTCTGCGGTTAAGAGCACTTGCTGTTCTTCCAAGGGACCTGTCAGCACTCGGGTGGCACTCACAACCACCGCGAACTCCAGTCCCAGGGGAGCTGGTGCTGCCTTTTTGCACTGCATGCAATGTGGTACCCAGACATTCATGCAGGCAAAACATTCATACATATAAAATAAAATTAAAAATTATCACAGTCAAACATGCTATTTAAAAAAAAAAGTTTTTCTAGAACTGTACTATTCAAGATGGTGGCCAGAAGCCACAGTTAAACTACCTAGATTCAAATTATTAAATAAAATAAAGGGGCTGGAGAGATGGCTCAGCAGTTAAGAGCACTAGCTGCTCTTCCAGAAGACCTGGGTATGATTCCCAGCACCCACGTGGCAGCTCACAGCCACCTGTAATTCCAGTCCCAGGGGATCCAATGCCCTTTTCTGGCCTCCGTGGGTGCCAGCCATGCACACAGCACAGACACACACATGCAGGCATGTGCTGGCTAGTCTTATGCCAACTTGACATAAGCTAGAGTTATCTTCATGAGGGGAACCCCAATTGAGAAAACGCCTCCATCAGATCCAGCTGTAAGGCATTTTCTTAATTAATGATCCATGGGGGAGGACCCAGTCCATTGTGGGTGGTGTAATCCCTGGACTGGTGGTCCTGGGTTCTATAATAAAGCAGGCTGAGCAAGCCAGGGGAAGCAAGCCAGGAAGCAGCACCCCTCCATGGCTTCTGCATCAGCTCCTGCCTCTGGGATCCTACCCTGTTTGAGTTCCTGTCCTGACTTCCTTCAATAATAAACAGGGATATATATATAGAAGTGTAAGCCAAATAAACCCTTTTCTCCCCAACTTGCTTTTGCTTTTTGGTCATGGTGTTTCATACAGCAATAGAGAGCCTAACTAAGCCAAGGCAAAACACCCACATACAAAAATAGCAGAATAATTTTAAGTGTTTTAAAATGAAATAAGTCCTAATTCAGTGTCTCAGTGGCCCTAGCCATATCTGAAGTGCCTTGTGTAGATGGTGACTTGTGTTTTACCATAGTGGCCATTTCCATCACCGAAGGGACCTGTCAGAGAGTCCTCTTATGGAAGCTGAGGGCTTCCTGTTCATAACAGTCTTCTGGAGAATGTCCAACTGTCAGTCAGCCAGACCAAGAAATCCTGTGCTTCTGAGCCCCATCTAAGGCCCTGGGTTTGAAGGTGCTATGTAAAGAGAAGGAAGAACCACCCTGTTAGCAGAGACCTGTCAATCCGTGTCAAAAACCGGCAAAAGATACATGCCATGGCAAAAGAAAAAAAAAAAGGCATGTTGGTTAGTTTTGTCAACTGGTTGGGACCACAGGGTGACCCACATATTTAGTTAAATATCATTTACAGGGATGTGTGTGATAAAAGTGTCTCTGGGTAAGCCGGGCGGTGGTGGCGCACGCCTTTAATCCCAGCACTCGGGAGGCAGAGCCAGGCGGATCTCTGTGAGTTCGAGGCCAGCCTGGGCTACCAAGTGA